ACTTTACCATACTCAATAGTCTACAGTCTACAGTATCTAGATCTAGATTCTAGATAACTAGATCTAGATCTAGATTTAGATATATCTAGATCTAGATATTTAGATCTAAGAATCTAGATCTAGATCTAAATCTAGATCTAGAATCTAGATCTAGATCTAGATTCTAGATTTAGATCTAGATCTAGATCTAGATCTAGATATAGATCTAGAATATAACTGACTAGAAATAGAAAGGGTGGAATTTGTTGAGAATCTAGAATCTAGATCTAGATTCTAGATCTAATCTAGATCTAGATTCTTGATCTATTCAAGTACAATAGCACTCAGGTGGTCCACCAACCAAGTTTAAAATGAATAAACTGTGTTTGAACTCTTTGCCTTTGCTAAGCCTGGTGCCATTTTTTACATAGACTAGTGGAAGTGTTTAGAATCAGCCTCCCAAGTCCAGATAGCCGCCCAAGGCAAAACAAACAATTACAAATCAATAGGCATAAATTCGCAATGCTTTGCAGCTCAACCACCAGCGTCTAATCAATTTTTCTGTAACTAGGTTTCATTCGGTGATATTTTTAACGGTCTGAGGGCCAAACATTCAAAATGCTGACAAAAATAAAAAGGACAATTTCTAGGGAATATCAAGCTTTTCCATCGTCACCTTAGTAACCACAAATTTTGAGATGTTGTGTACTTACGAGATGATCGTGCTCGTCACAGCAAACTAAGCACGCCGATAACAATAATGTGACGACAAAGAGTGTTTTTTCCTTCATTTTCCTTCCTTACAGATGCAGATCTTGCCTAAATTCCAGAGATGAAATGGATTGAATATGGGCTTATTTCCGGTTAACTCGTCAGCGTTATGGCCGCCTCCATTGGCCACGTAGACCTCCACTAGAGGGCGTCGACTTGAGGAGAGCTAAAAATGAGAGGTAACTCTCCACTCTCCAGTAGTTAGTTATGAATGGGGCTGGAGCTGGAGCTAGGGCTGGAGGCCGGAGGCCAAAATTACTTGATTCTTGATCTAGTCAATGACAGCGAATTACTTCTGCGTTTATATAGAGTCTATGCCTTAGCCTTGTTATATTTTTTTATGAACTAAAGTTTATAAATTCTTCTTATAAAGGAGTAGTCACTAAAGAAGGGAGCACCACCACCATTCAAGACAAACAAGGAAAATGCCTGACAGTTGACAGAGGAACAAGACATTTTGAAAAGATGGACAGAATACTGCTCAGAATTGTACAACTACAAAGCCACGGTGAACCCCGAGATTCTAAACGTTCCCCCAGCAACCAACATCGATAACCA